AAATACTGTAAATCCAATAATCTCTTTTTAAAGATAATAATCTTTCAAACAACGGAAATCTATTTCATCAGGTGTGAAATTTGGATTTGCTTTTGTACCATTTCTGCATCACTTATAATTTTTGAACTTTCTATAGGTGTTTTCAAAGGTTCTCAAATTTTTCTGAAGGTTTTAGGAAAAAGCATGAGTCTGTTTTTCTGAACTCACAACGTAGATATGAACACCATCAAAAATTGATGAGAGATCTTAAGCCACAACAGCTTTTTGAAAGGTTAGCTACTACCCACAACTTAGAGCCATAGTCTGTAGTAGTAGTACAGTGGGCACTTATTACTGAAATCCACAGTTGCTTCACCACAAAGAATTTGCTGCATTTGCACATTGCTATTAAACGGTCATAGTTTTGAAGGCATTGGGAAGAATCTGGCAAGAAGTGCAAGTAAAGCAAAACAAATTATGATTTCTTAAAAAAAAAAAACAGCAAAAAAAAAAACCTTCTTGGCTGTCATGAATATTTGTTTCTCCTCTGCATTGAAAACTTGCTTTCTAAATTTACCATTTAAAAATGAAAACGTGGTTCAAAAATAGAAGTGGACTAAAGCAGTAAGATTACATTTTTTTAAATTACATATTATCTATGGTAATTTGTAGAAAGTGGTGGTCATAAAACACTCCTATTATTGTGGTTACATGACCATGAATTTTCCCTGTTGCTCTCACAATAATATGTATCATAAATATTATCTCCATCTGGGAAGCTAAAGAATGCTTTCCCACAGGCTTCCTTTGTGTTTGGACTGAAGTATGATGTATTTCAAACAATGTGAAAAGTATTTAAAACAAGCTCGGAACAGAATGGGATGATTGCCAGGCCATTACAGTATAACCTTTATGCAAATTTTACTTTGACACATTTTTGTGACATTGTTCAGCAATAAATTTTAAAAGCTGACAGCGTTGTCTAGACTGCAAACCAAGAGCCTGTTGCACATCAAGTTATGCTTGGAGCTGAGCTACCTAAAATGGTCATGAAAGTATTTGTATTTATACCCAGTTCATAGTTACACACTACTGCTTCACCAAAATCATGCTACATGCTTCCAGGGACCAGAGAGCTTTAGTTTCATGCAGTGTACACTCAGAGACTCCTAATTTTGTCCAGCTCTGAAAGATTAACTGGAAGAAAACTTCTAAAACGTTTTTGGTTTTGTTTTTAAAATGAATCTTTAAGAAGTCCTTACTGGTAAGGACCAATTATTTTCTGTTTGCAGTCTATAAGTTCCCGGTGGTAGGTCATATTAAATGGACCAGTGACCACTCGCTAAAATAGCACCAAATTTTTATTAACGTCAGACTTTTAACGGAATAGGAAACCTTTAACAAATGGGAAGTGGAGTTAAGACACATGAGCAAAACCCTCTGGACTACATGACATCACTGTCCACAACACACTTTTCCATTGGTTAAAGAAAATTTTTTTTAAAAAAGGACTTTACTTCCTAGAGCTATTCCTCTGGCACTATCACAAGCATAATATTCACTTTGAATTAACAATCAAGTGAAAACAGAGAGCTCTAAGAAGCAAACGGAGAAACAGCTTCCATCAAAAAACAGCAAATACAACAGTAACAAGAAAAGTCAGTATTAGATCATCACAGCCTATATTAAAGAGCCTTTGAAGCTGTAGCTATGGCAGAGCAACTCCTTCATCGCAGTTCTCTATTACAGATGTGGCCTGTGCTAAAAGCAAAAGCTTTCATGTTAGTAGAGCTGTCTCAAAGAAGGAGACAGAGAAGAATGGCCCACCTTGACAAGCTCTGGGGGCTGAGGCTTTACAGTGATGTGGTCTTTGTGACTGCTACCAAGGAGTATCTGGCCATAGTAGTATGGTCATGGGTAAGTCCACAGATATCTGACCAATTCCCATGTGATAGTTATAAGCAAACAAACAGAGAGAGCCACTCTCCTGAGCTGAACTGTAACAAGGTGGGAGCCATCTGCAAAGTGTTTACCACAGAGTTTTTGTGTTGGTGATGTTTTGGTTTGGGTTTTTGTTTGTTTGTTTGTTTGTTTTGCTTCCCATCATGGGGGTACATAGGATTGAAACACCTAAACATGTGCTGCTTATGTTTATGTCCTTTTACTCCTCTCTCTTAAAGGCAACATAGAAAGTTTGTGAAGAGAAAGAGGTTTATGCCACAGATAATACACAGGGTGTGTTGAATACGGCTTACAGAATGAAACAATACTGCTTTGGCTGCCAAAAACTATTCCAAGCTCCAGAGGATATGGCCTAAAATGGTTATGAAGTCAAATTTAGAGGGATATTATTCTTCCTATGAAAAAAATTCAGGCAGCAATACATGCGTGAGTGTCTGTGTGCACTGGGGTAAATGTATAGCAATTATATACCAGATCCTTGCTGTTTCTCAGAACTCTGTCATAGCTAATGTCTAATGCTTTTACAACAATGGAACATAAGAACTTGGCTTATGCACACAACATTAATGAGGAATTAGCTCACTGTAACATAAGGATGTCCTTCAATAATGTGACATATTATGGCAATAACTTTCCTATCTTGTTTCACATTGTTTTGCAGTCTCACCTTACATAAAACTTAGAATAGCAAATACCATATTTAAAATATTTATGTTAAATTAAGTTTATTTACCCTTTCCTGTAAGTTGCTTCCATCCCAAACTCCAGAATCTTTTTTGCATACAGCAGATCCAATTCAACAAAGGTTCCTATTTGAATATCTTGAGTGTCCTAATCATCTGGAAAGTTTTGCTTTAACATAAAATGTATTATATACCCATTAAAAAAAAAACTGTAAGGAGCTGATTCTGTTCTTGTACTACATGTTTTAATCCCTTGGGTGGTATCCTCAACCTTCTTAAAAAAGATGGTTTGCATGCACTAGCCATCACTGTTATGTGATTCATGGCTGTTTGATATGAAGGCATGACAAAATTCAGCAGTGCTAAAGCTCATGGCTTGTATTGCATGTAAAGAGTTGCATAGCTTCAAAATAAAAGCTGCCATCTTTACTATATTGAAAATGAAAAAGCATGGCCACAAGTAAAAATTTTGGAATCTAAACTACTTTCTTACATCCAGATTTTCTGAACCACACTTCTGATAAATGCCGAGCTGTATTTATCGCACGCAAATTTAGTAGTGACCGTATGTGTACATTACACCTCACTACACCTACTGAATTTATTCCAGCATGTTTACAAATATTCTCTACTGTTCAGTAGATGATGACACGGTGATTTGGTAAATGAATGCTGTGCTGTTCAGGCTCTACACTTATAGGATGCAAAATTCACAGAGAGTGAATACAAGAAGAGATGGGGGAAAAGGACAGAGATCTTGAGAGGTGAGACAAGAGTAGAAAATAAATAGATGAAAATTCATTGATTTTTCCATGTAAAGTGATAACTCAACCCTTAATTGCACAAAGCTTTCCCAGCTTGTGAAAATTACTCCCAGTTGACCAGTTTGTCTGTTTCCAGGTCTTTCTCAATCCTGCCAATGTCAGAGTCAAAGATAAATTGGGGAGTTCTTCTCTATTTGTACCTTGATTAATATTCTAGTGGGTAAATATTCTACAGGACTCATAATTTATCACATTTCACAAACATTTTATTAAGCTATTAGAAATGTCATATTTTAATTTTTGCTGTAGGTCCTTTTGGAAGATATGTTTTAAATCAATGGATTGTGCTTTTGCAGACTGAAGGCTATGAATAGTTATGACTGTGGGAAAATCAGCTTTAATCAGATTCAGAAGAAATACATATATTCCTGAATTTTGGTCTCTTGGGAATAGTAACAGTAGCTTTAGATTAGAATTTCTCCAGGTTATCCACACTCTGTCACACAAGAAATTTTTCTTCAACCAGAGTCAATGTATTAAGATCACTGGTTCTTCCTTCTACCCTTGCCTTTTCACAAATGCTTTGGGGTTTGATTTCCCTCATTTCATGTACTAAGCTGAATGCAATATTAAACATTTTAACCTTTTCAAGCCTATGTACATATAAGGGAAAGATCACCTGGTGACATGAGAATAATGTGTATTTTATTTCTTGCAAGTATCATCATTTCACAGGGTTTGATTTTGTGCTCAAGGCAGCAGCCAAGCATAGTTCTGCAGTCACATGAACAGATTAGGAAGGGAATATGAAGTATTGGTGAAAAGGGTAAGCTACTTCCATGACTCTGCTCCACTTTGGTGTGGAGGGAGAGCGGTCTCAAACACACTCAATTTCTAGCATTACTCTAGTAGTGATAGTGATTCCTAATCCCCTTGTCCAGCATTCATTTCTACAAGTATTGTGAAATGTGTACTCAAATCCATTTAAGAGTCTGACAAAAACCTAACTATACGTGTCTTTTTCATAGCTTCCTTAGAGGGCATAGCTGCAGTGACTTTGTCCTTGATTTTGGGCTCCCTCTCTTAGTTTTTTCCATTATGCTTAGTTTGTGGAGGACAAGCTCTTTTGTGTCAACAGCACTGCCTCATGTAGCACAATAACAGTGGTTTAAATGTCAGCAGTTAGTCACTGATGATTGTCTTAGGGTTTAAATAGAAGTTTCTTACTTTTTAGCCACTGTGTTTAGAGGGAGTGCTTACCAGCAGCAAAGTATAATTGTGGAGCTTTGATCTTTGCTTTGAAATGTCTTTTTAAGTGTAAAGAAAACTTGTCTGTGCTGAGAACGACATTAGAAGCTATTTCTGGAGTTAGACCAGGATTCTGAAGGTGAAAGGACACTTCTCCAGCTCTCTCAACAAGTCCCTGGGAAAGTTAAAAATAAGTCTTGCTTAAAAAAAATTGGCACTCGTTATTTGAGAAAATTTCTTTATTCCAGGAACTGCCTCATGTAGCAGAAATTTATTTACCATCTGTGTAGACTTGAAAAATTTTCCATCTTACCAGATACACAACTGAAATAGCAACAGATTTTCCGTCCCTATGGTTTCCACCGACCTCTGTTTTAAGGAAGCGTTGTTGTAAAAACTTAAGAAACTTTTGTGTTCTCTGAAGAGGGGTAGCTAAATTAATAGCCCATCTGTCAAACTCTGAGTTCTGGCTGTGACCTCTAATGATGTCACCTTACTGTTGCTAAAGCACATCACAGGAGGAATTCATAGACCTAATAGCTGAAAATATATGGTTTTTTTAATTATAGGTACACTTTTAATTAATGTTACAGTGCCAACAAATAAAAGTGTAGTCACTTGAGAAATTTATTTACTTTGTGTACAGATGTACTTCTTAATGTCACACCTCTGCAATTCCAGGAGGAAAACAAAATTTAAAACAAAAAACCATCCCACAAGCAATTAAACCTCACTGAATCTAGTAACTAGTCTGTTAAAATACGAAGCAACCTTTTTGTACTTCTGAATATCACTTCTGAATATCACAGAAACCAACACAAGGAATTCCTGGGAGACAGAAAAAGAGAAAGGAGTTCAAGAACAGATGTCAGGGTACAGGAGCTTAACTTTTGTTTTCTTTTCCTTCATCCTTTTTTTTCTTTAATATATTCCAGAGATACATTCTACTTTTGGTTTTATGCACATCAGGATCCTCAAGAACTATAGAGGCTGATTCTTATTTGATGCTTAGGTGTTTTTTTGATTCCATCTACCAAAATAGTATTTGTGTGATTAACAAGCTTGGTGTAAAAGGCAGGTGCCTAAAGTTTCCCCCTAATTCAGCAGTCTGATTTGCTGAAAAAAATTTAAAAACTTATCTGCCATTCTTATTATAATTGTGAGGTTTTTCTGCCTTGTCTATTTTTACCTACCACAGTATTCATGATGTTTGGCTGAAGGGGCTTATCCTAAATAGGCCTAGCACTAATGCTTATGCTTTCATAATTATGAGTCTTTGAACTAGCAAAATTTTATGGGATGAGACTTTTTTTTAAACAAAAAGTATTACTGAATCCTTTGATGTGACAATTTTGATCTGTATTTTAAACTTATTCTGTCTATTTTTGAATATCTGTATAACTTTTCTATTTGACTATACAGTAAGGTAAGCTATTTTTGTTTCAGCAAAATTGTGTAATTGTGAAAATGGAAGAGTATAAATTTTAAGCTTTCTTGTTGGTGCTAAATCACTTTAAATTTCAACATGAGGAAATTAGAATTTATTTTTGCAGTGTGCAACTGAATGTTATTCAACAACCAGAATTTTAAAATGGGAGTTGCAGTTCCCAGAGAGACAGAAAGTTTTAGTTAAGTTTGTGCTAGTGAGTTAAGGTACCTATGCCCTGTTGTGTTTTAGTTTGGGCCAGGAGCATTCTTTTGGAGGGAATTTACTGATTGATTGTGATCTAAAGCATGATAAGTGACATCGTGAATGATAAGAGATAGTGGGATTTAGGTGCACTCTCTGATTTGACAGCTGTAGAGCAAATTTGACAGATCTAATGCATTGCTTCACAAAGAAAAGCTGTATTTTGGAATAGTCAGTGGGTAAAATTTTTAAGACATTAGTAGGGTAGCAGATTCATATCTGCGCAATGCAAGAGGTATGAACTGGAAGACTAGTTATCAGACATAGTCGCAGGATTTTACACTCCCATCACTTGCAGTGTGAAGACATCCAAATCTGTCCTCTACTCCAAACAAACTGGTTGCAAGATACATAACCGTTATGACTGGAGAACACCTAGTACCAAAAAAAGTCTTCCGAATACAGATTTTTAAAAGAGAACAGAACATCACAGTTTCCTTTTATGTGAATTTGATAAATATTCCCTGGTGTAATAATATAGATTTCTGACTTGAGGTTAAAATTTAGCCTTTAAACAAACTAGGCAGTCTCTTGAGATTTTTTTATAGGTTTTATTTCATCTGTCTGAAATATATCAGATCCAATACAAAACTAGTTTTTCCCCTGTTCTGGTGCTTTCTAGTTCTCTCACTAATTCCCAGTAGTCTTGTGGTAATGTGTTCATTCTACTGACCAGTTGCTCAGCTGTCCACAAATGCATCCTCCTGATGTGCATTTCCCAGCATTTTACAAGTCAGTGTCCTATTCCACTTCAACATAAAACTTTTTTGAAAGCAAAACTATGTGGCACTGGGGATCTAGACGGGGAATGTAATGCAAGCATAATTAAACTTAGTCTGAATAAGTGAGAAGTGAAGAAATAGATACTACACAGTATAAGCACTAGATTGCTTTTAATGTGTGTTTGAAATAGAAACAGAGAGATAGCATCTTTTATAATAATGTTGGGTTTGGTTTTTGGGGAGTTTTTTTGCCTCTGACGTATTTAACTTTCTTTTTGTTCTTCTTACTACCTGTAGTAGAAGGGAACTCTTTGGTTCCCTTCTCTAGGCCCTTGGTACTAGGACCCTATAGTATAGCAAATAATATCCCCCAACATTGCCAGTGATATTAATTTCAGTCTTTGGTAAGGACAGAATTGTAAGCATCCAAAGTAAAGTTTTTCTGTGCAGGAGGATTAGAAAGTGTATGAGCAGACCAAACCAGAAAGAGCTGATTTGTTCCCTCTTGGAACACATTTTTCACCAAAAATGGTTTGTGAGCTTATTGAACACCAAGTGTTAAGGGAGCTGAAAATAGAGATGGCTTCATCCCTGCTACTATCCCAGACTCCTCAAAACAAAAGAGAAACTCAGCAGCTAGAAATCATTGAACTTCCCTGGTCATCCCAAGGCAGTTGGGGGTGGTGGTGAGTGGAGGTCTGTTAATCAAAATCTCAAAGGAAATACAATTGATTTTAAGAATCTTTATTTGTTTGTTAGAAAACCTAACATTTCATTCGTTGCTATATATACAGTGCTTGGATTCAATTTGACGTGCAATTCTGTACACACAGCTTAAAAAAGTGTTGTACATAGGACTCTGTAATAGTAAGTATGGTTTATAGTGGGTATTTTGAATTTGAGCCATCTGTTTAATTTGGATTGCTCTCTCTTATTTAACATCAACTGCAATTTACACCCAGCCCACAGTTTTAGCAGGCACAGCAAATGTGGACTGTGACTTAACCCAGTAATATATGAGGAGGCTCTCTGTCAAGAGGAATTTATGGCATCTACTTGATTACGTTGTTGTTCATTCTCTGCCTGAGTGGTTCCCATTATTCCATGACAAATAGTGAGATTTGTCTTCTCTACCATGACCAAAGCATAAAATTCTACCTTTCTGTGTGTCTCCACGTTGTGTGCACATGTATTATGTGGCAGTTGTTTTGATTATTTTTGGCAGTATGTGGAACAGTTGCTTTATGATTATATCACTTCACATATTCTGTAGGGAAAATAAGACAAGTAATCATTTGTTGTAGTTCAATCTGTCCAGTATAAATGATCTCTATGTGTGTATTATTTGTGTTTTAAAAGGTAGTATAAGAATTGCAAAAAATAATCTTCATAGAAGGTTTTTGTAGAAAGCAGTATATAATATTTATGACATAATCTCCAGTAAACACCCTCACCTTTTTTGAGTTGTTGTTTAGGGAATCTAATCACAACTTAGGAGTCTGGGAGAAGAGTTACTAATAACAACGTCAGTGCAAGCATGAATAAATCAAAATAGGGAAGTTACAGTCCAAGAGAGACCAGGTGTTAGGATTTGGGGGTTCCTTGAATTCCGTTACATCATTAAACATTGAAGATATCGCATGCAGGCAAAATGTTCACTTTATTATTATTTATATTTTCAATAGTTAATAGAATAATTTTAAATATGTAATTTATAGAAGGAATATCCTAGTTGAAATAATATAGTGTACAGAAATTAACAGAAAGAGAGTAAGAAAAGAGTTTGGATGTATTCTGGGGGTTTTTGCAAGCTTAAGGTCATTGCCTGGCCTTGGTAGCCAGAAACTCAGGTCCTGAACTTGAGTCAGGGCAATCACAAGCACAAATCCAGGCTGGTCAGAGTCCAGCTGCAAAAGCAGCCTTGAGGAGTAGTACTTGGGGGTGTTGGTGGATAAGAAGCATGGCATGAGTTGGCAACGTGGGCTTGCAGCCCACAAAGCCAAGACAGGCTAAGAGAGCTGGGGTTGTTCGGCCTGGAGAAGCAAAGGCTCTGGAGAGACCTTGTAGAATCCTTCCAGCACCTGAAGGTTGGATGGAGCTTTTAGCAGTCTGGTCTAGTGGAAGCTGTCCCTGCCCGCAGCAGGAGCTTTGGAACGACATGGTCTGTAAGGTCCCTTCCAGCACGAACCATTCTATGATATGGTCTTTTAGGTGTTCTCTGATTACTTCTGCTTTTGACAGATGTTTAAAGGGAGTTCTCTTGGCAATCACTGGAGCCTTCCATATTACCTTGCTTTCACAGAGCATCAGAAAGCACGTGTTCCAACTAATGATGGAGATGTATCTGCTGGTTTGTATCTAATGTTAAATGAATCACCTCACCTGGGATAGAATATGGCTACTAGCATGGGGAGGCAATAGCAGCACAAAAGCTGGGTGTGTGGGCAAGGAGGATACAGGCAGAAAAATTACAAATCTGGATCCATTTATCACATACTACTGTACCTTGATTATCCACATCAACAAAAGTCATACAGAAGAATCTTATTCTTTGTCAGTTGGTGGATTCATTGGGCATGGCAATTGCTCCAAAATCTTTTTATAAAGAGAAACAGATTTCATAACTATGACAATATATACTGATAAAAGACAGAGAAAAAAATTATTGAGAAGGAACCGGTCTCCAGAGTTAACATTTTATTTAAATGAACTGCTTCATGTGAGCCAGAACTCTTGCCATTAGATAGTCTTTGTTAAAGTATACTGAAATGGAATTTACTAAAAGGAAAGATAATGTGTGTTCCTCGATAGAAAAACTCAAAAGATTTGATAATTAACTCTCAAAGGAGTCCATTGATTATTTTACAGCTGTGGAAAAAACAGTAAAGACCTATTTATTGACCTAGCTGTCTGATAAATCACAAAGAGATCAGTGTCATGGAATCTTTTTGAACAGACCACCTCCAAACACTGGGAAAGATCCAGATGAGGTCAAAACCCTCAGCTTCCTGTCTCAGAGAGGAAAAGGAAAAAAACCCTGATAAACATTAAGTGACACAGACTTGCTTTGGAAATCTCTAGAGACAAACTGAACAGGAGAAAAACATTTAAAAAAATAGCAACCTTCTCTTGTTAAATGTAGCAAGATAATACATGCATTCAATAAATAGAAAGGAAACCCCTATGATTTACTTTTTTTCCAGTTTGATTACTCTGTCAGAACGGAGCCTGAAACATGAGAATCAATAATGAAGCATCCTCAACAGACATTATCAGAATGGTTGCCTTGGATGACACACATAGCAGAAGGATGTAAATCAGATTGGTGAAATCCCAATTTTGTTGTTAGCAAACTCTGGGTTGTTTCAAAGGGCCTCAGATTTCACCTACAACCATCAAGTTACTTAAGCCTGATAATAAACTCTATTATCTAAATTTTTAAATTAAGAAGAGCCAAAAGGTATTTTGCTCATGTTAAAAAACACATTGACATAGTGGAACAGCCATACTGCCATTTATGTGTCACATTGTTGAGTCAGCAGAAACAGGGTTTAACGCAAATAACAATGGAACCATCCTTTTTATTTTATTGGAAATTCTAGGAGAGTTATGCATCTTTCTACCAGAAAGGACAGTAAGGACATTTTTGATTATAGTAATATTTGTTTTAATATTAAATTTCTATACAGGATGAAATACTTTTAGATTACAAATGTCTTATTTTTCAAACTGAACAATCACCAGTCCAGCACCACTAGCTATAGGGTGCCTTGAATGCACTGGAAGTCTGCCATGTTCTCAGTGCTGTTCTTTCTTGGGGAGGTTAGCTGGTGGTGACTAGAAATTCACTACAGCTTGCCTTAGTGCTGGCTGTGGACCGAGTCAGGTCCTTCCTCCAGATGTGTATTTATGTGTATTTCTGCTATGTGTTTCTCAGACTGTAGTTTCATGCTTTTGGCCTCACTTGTGAATCAGTAGCCAGAGTTTTCATGCAACGTTTCTTTTTCCCCTGAGCTGATTTTGTCATGGTGTGCCTTGTGTTAAGTCAATAAAAGTTGGCATACACCACAGATAAAAATCAAGCCCAGTACCTGATAGTACATACATATATATAATAGTGTAGGGTTGGTAATTCTTCAGTTCTGCTGGGATAATGCAGTCATAGCTCATGCTTGATTAAACTGGGGAAACAAAATACTGGAGTATTCTTAGATGCTCTCAAGCTGGTTATCTCAAGTTCTCTAATAGAAACATTTTGATTGTATGAGGACATAGGCTAATCTGTGCCAGCTGTTCTGTACTTAACTATTCCAAAAGTCTCATTTTCCCTTCTCAAGCAATTTTTTTTTTCTCTGCAGACATATTTCATGCAAAAGCTATGCTGACCTTTAAAGATGTTTTACGTTTTTGTCACAAAATATGGTGGCAGTGCTTTTTCCTTTAATATAAGGAAACCCTCCATCTAAAAAAGTTTTTTAAAAGTGTAGCAAAACATCTAGTTTTTTCTAGCTTTATGAAAAGTAAATAGCCATACAGTTCTATGGCTTTTATATATATAGGGGAATCTAAGGGAAGGTTTAAGGCAGTAATGTTGGTGTTTCATCAGACAGAAAATGAATTATTATTTTTAAAGAAGTCAGTAGGGTATCGATCAAGAATGTCTCAATTTCTTTAATTCCTCACCATATTTACTCATTGGCTGGAGATGATGGTTATTGTTTAGCTTATGGATGCACCTAGAAATAATAGGTATAGAACTGTATTACCCTATTGACTTAAGCAATTTTCATGGATCCAACCAAAAGATACTCTTTTCCCAAAAATATATAGTGCTATCTGGGTTTAGTGTATATACTTAACATGCATTTCTAAGGGTAAATAAGTGAGGCTTTAGCAAATTTGTACTTACATGTCCACCTAACAGGTCATACTGCTCACACTTTATTTACATGAAAGTAGGGCAACACTTTTAAATATGGAATATGGGAGATACCTACATACATTTGTTTGAAAAAAAAAATCTAGTCAAGGAAAATCCCTTTACCAAAATGAACAGCATTGCACTGGGAGTCTTCTAATATTGATATTTCTGAAGTGTGAACTACAGTAAACTCAGTCAGATTTTAATCCAGAAAAGCAAGGGATTGAGTCTAAAATGAAGAGTGGCATTTCTATTTGTTATCAACAAATCATTATCTTATGACAAAGGAAAATAAGATTAAAAAATATATAAATGCTTCCATTTAGGGCAGATTTTTTTTAAAAGTGTGTCTAGTCCATTCTAAGGTGGTTTTATACCTTTTGTCAAAGGCATGCTATTGTTACCATATCATGGCTTCTTCTTTGTGTATGTGAGCAGACACTTACTGACGTACTGTAGACTGCCTATTGCATAGTTGCAAAAGGAAATGAGTCACCTGGAAAAGCCCAGCTGAAATGCAAACTTCATTTTTCTTTTGCTTTCAAAAAGAGCTTAATAACTGAAATGGCATGTGTTTGTGCATGTTAAGACACTGAAAAACTTCAAACAATCAGGTGTGTCCATGCAAAATATTATCCAAGATCTGATACTTATGGACTTATAAGCATAAAATTTTGCTTAAAAGATCTAATTCTTAAAGTGTACTTTACTGCAATCCAGCTAAGCTGTGATATGCAGATATGCAGATTGGAAACACTAATGCATGCAGGCTGCTTCCTGCCCCATGATAATTCTTCTTTGGTAATTACTAACACTCACTATATCAATTCTACAAGTAGCTGTTGTATGTATCTGATTGTGATAGTGTCTCCATTGTTAATAGCCAGATTCCACCAACCTGAATTTAATTCACTAGGTCATATTCAGAGACTTATCTTATTGATTTCAGTAAAACTAATTGTGAAGAAATGGCAAGCAAATTTTATTCTGTTAACTTGAAGGGTTGAACTACTGAAAACGCAGTTCAGACAGAAGCTGAGGATCAGGTCAGGTCAGGTTAACTGCTGGGCCTTTAAATCTTACTTCACACTTACATTAAAAAATTGATCCTTCTTATTTTCTGCAGTTTGATCTTGTAATATCAATTAGGGTATCATACTCTTGACTTAAATAATTAAGGGTCCAGGAAGCATAGTCCTTAATATTATTGGTAAACCCAAGAATTACAATAGTTTTGTCTTTTACACTCAGCACCAGTTTATAAACGCATTGAATTTCTATAGCACAATCATTGTTATTTAATAGTAACACCACATAGACCCACTAAAGTGCTTCAACTGTTCCAAAACTATAACATTATGAATTCTTAGAATCTATACATTTGGATTTCAAAGACCTGCTAGGTGTTTTCCCATGATGCTCATGAACAGTACAGAAAATATTTCTACATCCCTTAATTGTATCAGTTCTAGCATCTACTATAATCTGTCCCATCTTTCTGTAGTTACAGATTACAGTATCTTTTACATTGTTTGAAATTTAAGTAATATTGCAGCAGTCTAAGTTTCTCACTAAATATCCCAGTCACTGATTTCACCAATCATAAGCCCTTCTGCTGCTTTATTAATTGATTTTTCCACTCAGTTTTTACTCAGCTGGGGTTTCGATCAGACACCAACTTTCAGAACATAAGATCTATGACTCACTCAGTAGGTCTATCTTGCACATTGGACCTGACAAGACTGTTTTCCTCCAGTGCCCACAGTGCCCATGTTTACATCGAATCCAGATGACTCATCTATGGACAGTGCTGACCAACCTGTCCTTCTTGTAGACTCCATGTTTCCCCGAGCTCTTCTCAGAACATTCCAATATTTGTGCTCCAATCTTGAGGCTGCAAGACAGTTAAATCATTAACAAACCACAAATGCTAGAGTCATATTCTCAGTGACACAATACAGACTGTTACAACAGCATATAACTCAATGAGTCAGGGAGACAAGGTCAGAAAAGGCTTAGAAACAAGATTTTCCTGCAGCACTCTGAAAAACCAAATTTTGAGTGATAGTAACATGCTTCATGAGACACCTTTATTTTGCAGAAACTCACTTTAATATTTCAAGCTGAGGAACTAAAAGGAAACTTCATTGTGCATGTCTCAGTCCTTACATCTGGGATCTCTTCCTTAAAGAGGAGAACACTGTTGTGGAATTCACTTGAGGGTGGGAAGGTTGAATTAGAAAGCTACAATTTGTGATCATTGTCTATTAACCCTAGAGCTCCTTGAAATCTATGTTACTCTTAGGCCAACTGGCTCTTCAGCAAGATCTTGTGTATCATTAAGGATTCATTTAATGATCCAAGGCACACAAAAGTAACAAAAGTGACTTATGTCAGGTAGACTCGTTTCAGTGGAGGTTGGTTAAGATTTTTTTTCCACTGGCCTGAAGCAGGACAAATTCGGTAACGGACAAGCTAGCATTTCTGAAAATGCTTGAATAAATTATGTACTTTTATTTATTTATTTATGCATTTATTTATTTATTTATCTTTAGCTGAACTGTTGATGCAGCTTTCATGACATTAAGAAATGACAATCACACCATATTGAGTTTCCCAAACAGATACAATTCAATCCAGATAAATAAATTTTCCCTGCAACATAGCTGAGTCATACTGGATACCTACTCAATGAATCGTAATGTATTTTTAAAATATCCCTCACTATTTGCTGTTCATTTCTGAATTTTTTAACACTTCATTGATCGCAGAACACTTCGGGCAATTTGGAGGAATAACAGAAAACTCAAAATTATGAATTTCTTTTTTTTTTTTCTGTCCTGAATGCTACTTTCTCTAAGGCCCATTGCATCCTATCTTTTTGGCGTGCGTGAGATTCACTCCATCTGTTGTTTTTTTTTTTAATGTGGCTTGTTCCTTGTTAGAAACATTCTACTTGAGTGTTTCTAGTTGCCTATTTGTTTGTCTAGTTAAAATCCACCAGAAGTGAAGAGCTCTTTTCTTATTCATAATGAGTTTTCTTTTCCTGGTTTGATTTTTCTTGGTTTGGGTTTTTATTTTTTTTAACTCTCATTCTATTGCCAGAGTTTATTTTTACATTTTCATTCAAAATTAGTCTTTCCAATATAAAATCCTACTACAAATTTAATATATTTCCAAATGTTATATTTCTTTTCAAATTTTTTTAACATGTTCTAGATTTTGTAATATTTTTTAGCCATTATTGTTGGGATTCTCTATCTATTGAAATCTTGATTTTCAGCAAGAAATATAGATTTAGGTGCAGAAAAAATGAAAACATTTAAAGCCATGTTATAATTAAATCATTAAAATATTTTCAAATTGTTTTGTAAGAATGAAATCATGTTCACCCCAATAACTGTTTTGGAGAAGAGTTTGGAATGGAATACAAGCTTGTTGAACATTAGTTAAAATATGTGATTTAATCCTGGCCCAGATAAGTTTGTCTTTTTATTCTATATCCTCTTTGAGATAACTCTTGAACTCAAACCTACTGTTTAGTAAAGCCCCATTTGGAAATAACACTGGCTTCTGAATCCACTTTCCCCCTTTAACACATCTATATAAGTAACATATTTACAACGTAAATATTTTGGGTGTTAGTCAAAACTAGAACTAGTAACCAACCTCACCTCCCATTCAGATTGCCCAGGTCCTAATTGTAGGCTACGGGGCCCTTGTGGATGGACGCATTGACGCAGACTGACCAACTGAATCCAATTTGATCTACATGTCCTTTCTGAGAGGCAATCACTTCCCCACTTCTGTTCTGGAAGGCAGCAGCTGTGAAAGGAAGCTGTCAGTCATCAGCTCCCCAAAACAGAGGAGAGGTGTGCAGGCACATAGAACTGCTGCAGGCTGAGCTGGGAGCAGGAGCTCAGCTGGGACCAGAGCAGGGCTCACTGCTTTTCCTTCTCCCAATCCAGGCTGTCAGAGCTGAGTGCCAATGCCATTATTTGCTGCAGTCTGGCTGAAACTCTGAGAAACAAAAAGGAAAAGGAAAATGCTATGGCCACAGCCAAGTCTCATCTGGACTTAAGTCCAGCTAGGGTATCTCTAGTGAGCTTCTCCCTGGGGATAGGGGCTCAGGGTTCAGCTCAGGCTGTCATTTACTGCTTAGGTACTCGTTATTGTTGTCTTGATTGACAGTGTAAACACAGCCTGTGTTTTTCAGATAAATGTGTTAAGAACTCAGGTGTGATACACAATAGTCTGTTACATCAATATTTCTTACGTGGATTGTTTCCTTTAATATTTTTTCCTCACTTTGGTACATCCATGAGATATATTTTCAGATTTTATAGTAAGAAAATATGAGTTTTCCATCTAATACCTGTACATACAATTTGGAGTAACATATTTTTGCTATTGCTGATAGAGAAAGTGAAAATGCTCAGACAGTCCTTGTATGGATCACACAATACTGGTGAGTTATGGCTGAGTTATGATGTGAAAGAAAATTGGAAGGTGATATCTACGTGGAATATTATTTATTGGTGCTGAATTTTCACTTTACTTGCAATAAATTGTGGGTATTTTTAAAAAGAATATGCTGTTCCTTTTTGAAGGTGTTTGTCTTACCTTCCAAAGAAGATAAGTTATCGTACAATATAGTGGTAATTCACTGGGGACATGGCTCCAGGGTATGACTGGCAAATATACCCTGTGTGTGGAAGGCTCTGTACAAAAGCGGCAATACCTATCCAGCAGCAGTACAAACTCTAAGTGCAGTACTTAGCAATAGTAGCAGTACTTTCTACCCAGTCTGGTTTTACCAGTGACTTTTGTAGATAATAGTTAGTTTCCATCCAGCAATGGAAAATTTAAGGACAACCTTAGCAACTGGTTGGAAGGGACCTCAGGAGGACTCTACTAAAGCAGAGCCAGATCTGAAGTCAGACCAGGGCTTTATGCAGTTCAGTCTTGAAAACCATCAGGAGTGGAATCTGTACAAGTTCTCTGCAAGAAAAATTTGACTGTATCTGAACTGTTCCTGACAATCATTCATCTCAACTGCTTGTTGCTACCTTGCTACCTGACAGCTTCTTATTACCTGCAGGTCCCAGTCAACTGCCAGTGGTTTTGGCCTCACAAATGCTGGGAGGTGAAATGGCTTCAACTGATATTTATTTGCTGTCACAAAAGGAAAATTTCCTGACAATACTGTGCTTTTCCATTCCTAGGCATGCACCTTTTACATTAACTTCACCTGTAATGAAAGCAGAGGGTTTTGCAAGTTGCTCCTCAGGAGGAGAGTTGAGGAGAGACTCAAGAATTGATGTGAGAATGGCCAGAGATGGAAGAAACCAGTCCCTACCATTGAATTGTGGAGAGGAAGGAATGAACATGAATACAGGGATGGGAGGAACATCATACCATTTTCAAGGATAAGAAAAGTCTCTAATGCAGACAAAAATTATTAAAAATAAGACTTATTGAGTTTAGGCTAGAAAAAGACTTTGAATAGGTTTTTAGTACTAAGAAAAGTAATACTGGAATAAGACCTTTTTGCTTGGGGAAGTTTTAGACATTTGTAAAAGGAGATGGAGAATCATCCATCAAATATGACAGACTTGTCATTGAGAGAGAGAGATGGCATTTTAAGATCACTTCTAGTTGTATTCTTTATGATTCTATGACTTTCTATTGTTAGCTCCTTAATAGTGTATCTAAATGTATAATATTTAATATTGTGTAATATTTAAAGCAATTAGTTTGGTTTCAGATTAAAATAGTCTGTAGACTTGACAAGCTGAACTTACTGTTGAAGAAGCAGTGAATGTTAAAAACAAGCATACAAAATGTATTAATTTATATGTCAGCGGAAAATTGTTTCAGTAACAATTGTGTGGTGCAACTTAGGGCCTGTTTCTAAAGATTTAGGATAGAAATGCTAAAATAAAACAAGTATTTGTGAAAGAGAGAAAAAAATCTAAGCAGCATACTTTAAGGGGAGAATGAATTCAAGGATTCAAAAAGGTAGTCTCAAAATAATGAAGCTTTCAGACTAACTTTATCTTCTGGCTGTATGTTAAATGGGTTCTGTCTTTTGATGTGAATGGAGAGAAAACCTTAAAGGCTAGTTTACAGGACAGTATGTGTGTCTGAGCAAGCCCTCAATGCTGTGCACTGTGCACATATCAATCCCATTAAGTAACATTTAAGAGTTAGAATAATTCCAATATGCATAAATATGTTTCAAAGGCATACATGAAATAGCTGAATATATTATAAAGAAAAGCTGAATTCCTTGTCTGAACCACAGTCTTCTACAAAATTCCAGTCAACCACTTACCACATGGTCAGACACTTAGTTTTTATGAATTTCAGACAACAATATACAGAAGACAGATGCTGTTAAGGGGTGTCAGAGGTAAACAAGGTGGGGTTGGTAGTTTTTACCAAATTTGGGCCATTATCAGCTCTTCAGAAGTCATCCCTGCAGAAATGGTGCAGTAATTGGTGCAGAATTTCGGAGAAGCTTCCATGACTGCAGAATCTTGTTATTTATTTTGGGAAATATCTTAGTAGTAAAATATGGTGTGAACCATATAAAGGGTGATCAGCCTCCTTTGATTCTATAATTTTTCAAAACCTCTAATTGCCATTTATTAATACTTTCTAAGAATTCAAAATTAAAGAGAGAGCATACTTTATGAAAATTTTTTTGAGCTATCTAGACTCCTTCTTAATGTGGCTGAAAAGGAATAATAATAATGTCCTTTATCAACATTTCCACTCCAAATGTGTTTGATCCCATCCTAGTTTGGGGGGTTTATTTTGCTCATGACTAAACTTACATGGAGTTAAAGTAAGAAGTGTAATATGAACATTTAATTTTGTAACCCTTTT